ATGGTTGAGGGATAACATAGGAAGGGTAAACAAACAAAAAAGAGAGAAATCCACACCTCTAGAGAACTTCCATAAGAGTATCTTTGAGCCAAACTAAGGACATATGCCATATGCCAGGGAGCAATATATCAAATGCTCAGTTCTGCAGCTTCTTTTATGCATTTGCACTTCAGGAGGGGACAGAGGACAATTACAGGAGGGTGGGAGAAAGCAAGGGAGATCAGATTACAGGGTAATTAACAGCATTCTGTGCAATTTCAAGTGTTAATACCCCCATTGACGAGTGTTATTTCTCATATTTCTAAGGTGTGTGTTCACCTACCTGCACAAAAATAATGGATGGGGCTGATTTAATATCTTTACTAAAGAAGTTACAGACCTGAGGCAGGACCTGCCCAGTTAGGGATTTATGATCAGATCATCTTGTGAGGTTACTTTCTATAGATCCCCTTTCGTCCACCCACAGATACTATTAAATGAATGTTGATGCAAGGGAAATTACACCGTGAAGAGAAAGTAAAATAGTTTCAGTCACAAAAATTTATTTTCTTCAAAGGACTTCAGTGGTGTTTATTATATTTAATAGTCAAGAAAAGTTATTACCTTTTATGTTTTTTGCCCCATAGAGCAGAGATTTGGCACAGTCTGTCTATTCCATTCCCATTTTGGGCGCTGGCAGCACCTAAGTTTGCCTGTGCTAGATCATTGTCTGTTACATGTTCTTATGAACTTTCATGATTTTCAAGTACAACATAAAAAATTCCCTTAAGATGTTATAAACTAAGGCATTTATGATTTGTCAACATAACCACAGCCAAACCTGTAAGAATTTTTATGAGTTTATTTGAACCAAACTCATGACATTGGTGGGAAGCAAAATCTCGAGGGACTGAGAAAATGGTCAGAAAATGACAGTTTTACCACTTACTTGATACATCAGAATCACAGGGGATGCCATAAGGGGGGTTACATAAAATCCATTGGTGATGGACTAGGGAGGTGGGAGAAAATAAAGAGAAGAAATCTCTTAGATTGGATTAAAAAATGAATAGAGATATACATTCTCTCTCTTTTTTTTTAAGTATGAAGGTATAGGGTAGTTAACAGTTCACAATTAACATAATAATAATAACAATGAGGGATCTGCGGCCTCTGCTCTTATGAGGTGTTTGTTGGGTGATAGTGCTTTGAGGGGTCCAGCAAAAAAGAAATGAGCTTGACATTACAAAGGTATGTTATCAGGTAAGTAATCTTAGGTACAAAGAGACAACAGGCTCAGTTAAGGTGAAGACTGACTTGCTGGGGGGGGGGGGTGGATACTGCCCTGGGACATGACTACCACAGCCTTGAACTGCTTGTGGTAGAAAGTTTTATTTTAGACCATCCTTTGTGGTTGCTTTAGGTCTCTGAGTTTGTAAGGTCTCCCCTGAGCTTGTTGGGTATAGTATGTAGCTTCTTTTTCATCCACAGACTCAATTTTTCCATATTTTTTGTGGGAGAAGAATCTGTTTCTCCTATTCCTCCACTTTGACCATGAACAACTGCACCAGTCATTCTACTAACAGAGGCTCCTCTACAAGTGCCAGCTGTTTGAAGAAGATGCTTTCATTTTGAACAATGAGTACTCACTGAGAAATCCGATTCACAAAAAATATGAAAATGGAGACAATTGTACTTGAACAACAATAAAAAAAGATATTTAGTTAAAAAAAGAATGTTAAGCAACATAGCTGATTTAAAAATAAATAAGATATCCTTGTTACCTGACTCTTAATTAGTTTAAAAACAAGTGAGAGAGACTTATATTTATGCAAATAATAAAGGGAGATAAACACAAAGAGGACAGGAGGAAAATGATGGAAATAGGTAAACTAGGAAAATAGACAACTTAGACAATTCTGACCTGAAAGTTCTGTCCCTTTAAATCTCATCATGACCTTGTTTGTTAACAATGACTCCTCAGAAACCTGGGACGGTAGTGTGCTCAGCCAGAGGAAGGATCGTTTTGAAATAAGGCCTCAATGATATGAACAATGCATTTCAGAAATCCTTGTGGATGGTAAACAGGGCCATGCCTAATCTGCCTTCTCCCTTGCTTTCACACTGTCTCCTGAAGTTTTGAATTATTTTGCAGATTTCCCAGCAAATTTCTCTTCCTCTGTGTATCTTTCAGATATTGACTCACACAAGGCAAAGACATGTAGCAGATCCCCCAAGATATCTGTTTGGTATTGAGGGTGAATCATCAATGTGGCAGCCTAGTAATTTTGCTGAGAAAGTTAGTAATTTCTTTGGGCTCTATGAGATTGAATTAAATGATGACATTGAGCCATGAGAAGTTAAAAGCCAAAAGGATCAGCTAACTTGATGCTGTTTCCAGGTTATAAGCAAAACTAAAAGGCAATTCAAATAATCAAGAAGTTTGTTAACTGCCTGCAACACTGGCTTTTGAATTAATTTGGTAAATCACATATCCTAAGGGTATTTAGGATAGCAGATTCTCAACAGGAGTTTGCTCTCTATAGGGAAAAAAAAAAACTGAATTATTTGACCAAAAGGACTTTAGGCTGCAGGTCCCAGGGAACTGAAGACATAGTACTTTAAAGTCAAAATCCACATGGGGAGAAATGAGAGGAAAGCTGTCCTGATCTCCTACCGTGAAGGACAAAGTACAGGTGTTCTGGAGTATGTAGAGAACCTGGCTTGTACATGACTTCAAGAAATATTTCTTTCTTCTATGGATCATATGGAAAGACTGAAATAATTATCAAAAGTAAGTTCTGAATAGAACAGGATATTTAAGGGTAATAATGACATCCTCTCTTATTTGATTTTAATGTTATAACTGAAATTAATGAGGGCATAGTTCAGCTAGGTATGTAATTTAAAGTTTCATTGTTCAAGAGCTTACTCATTTATACTTTTCATTGTTGTCTGATTCACTTTTAAACAAATAGTGATGAAGTTGGCTATGACTCAGAAGCCTTTGTAAAGAACTAGAATAAAACAGTGAACTTTCAGAACAAACTCTGAACAGTCATTGAATTCCATGGAAAAATCACTTTGCCTCTCCATTTCAATGTACTCATCTGTGAAATGAGATGGATAATATTTTTTGTGGGGATGTTTTGAAATTATTTTTGCAAATGTAGTAGATGAAATGGTGGCAAGTGTCATTGCTTTCTCCCCACTTTTTTAGAGAAATAGACGGTATTATTTATGTACTAGTTGATAGTCAAATGTCATCTGGGATGAACTGTGTTTATTTATCACCAGTTGCATACTTTTTTATTCTTAAAGAATCCCCTTCTCCCCAGATTGTTTTATTTAAGCATTAGGTCAATACCTGGGAACTCAAGTAATGTATCTTAAAATTATTCTGAGCTTCTTATTTATGAGCTGCCAATCCTGTATCCATAGTAATTATTTCTCCTTTTTGTTTTAGCTCAGGTTTTCTCTGATGTGGTTTTTCGCCTCACCTCACTTCACAAAATTGATAGTTCTCCATGTTTCCCTGCTAGAGGTCACCTCTGAGCTGAAGGCAAAACACATCCCATTCTGGCTCCTATTGACTTTCAAGTCAACAACCAAAGAATTTCTTCCAGACATCTGCTAACCTCAATTTAAAAACTCCACCCTAAAGATTATAGGGAGATATCCTGGGGAGTTGCCAGAATAACGCTAAGAGGTTGGCATTGAGGAGACAAAGCTACTGATACCAGATTTTTATATTCGATAGGCTTAATTATATAAAGTGGCCCTGAACCTCTGCGCTCATGTCATTTGGGTCTGGAAAGAAAATTTCTCCTTCAGGCTCTTCTGCCTCTTATGGTGCCAATCAACAGGCTTCTTGGTAATAAGATTCTTTATGCCAGTATCTCCAGCATAACATCAAGTGGTGCTTGTAGTAATGATAGAATCATTACAAAGCTAAAGGAAAAAAGGGAAATATATTTCATGGGTGTGATTAAGTCATCATAATGTTCTTGTATATGTAAATTATTCTGGACTTAATGAACTACCTTGCTCACATAAGAGTATTTTAACCTGGCTCTAGAAAGTACATTTTTTTATCCATGTTGATAATTGTTACCTGACTTGGCAGAGTTCATTGTGCTGAGATGAAATTTATGTATTATGTTTGCTTCCATGTGCATGAATTTTGTTTTAACTATGAGAAGTGCTGTTATTAAGTTAATACCTGCATTACTTTAATAAATAACTATACTTAGGAAGATGGAAAACTTAATTTCTAATGATATGCAAGTTGACAAGGGTCATTTAAAACTTTTTTCTTGATTATGAAAGAAATATATACTCGAAACATAAACACTTCAGAAAAGAACAAAGATTATCTCTATTTCCTAAGGTAGAGTAATCACTTTAAGGTTTTGATGGATATTCTGTAAGATGAACAGTTTGAAAATTATTTATACTGTTTTCTATCACATATTTATACTTCTAAAAACAGCTACACAAACAACAAACCTTGATAGAATAGAATTTTCAAAACATTTCCTCAATCAGAAATTGAATCTATAGTCCTAGTATCCATATTTTATAGATTTTATTCAAAATTATAAAAGCTATCATGGAAGCATTTAATGTATTCTCTCTGCTGCTTTAAAGAGTTCAATTCATCCAAAATTTTTCCAATTCCTTATCAACAAAGATGACCAGGTATATAATTATTGCAAAGCCAAGAGAAAAAAATGATAATCATGTTACTATTAAAATATAAACATTTATGTGTGTCTAGAAGGAAAAGGATTTCTAAAAAACGTAAGGGCCAATAACAGGGTCCTAATTATATGTTAAGACTGTTGTCCTCTGGTTAAGAATTTTTAATTCTTTTTCTGTCTTTTGGTAATACATAGTTTTGTTGTTTGGTTCGTTTAAATTTCATTTGGAATGAACAGTTAAATACAATATCGCTCTTGGGACGTTGACCATTTTTTTTAACTTTCATTTAATCCACATGTTTCTAAATCCCCTCTTAGGCAGCCAAGGGCAGTTTCCCCTGACTCAGAACGTAACCGTCGTTGAAGGAGGAACTGCAGTCCTGACCTGCAGGGTTGATCAGAACGATAACACCTCCCTCCAGTGGTCGAATCCAGCTCAACAGACTCTCTACTTTGATGACAAGAAAGGTGAATACATTTTCTTTTAACTGTTTTAATCGTATTCTAAAATATCCTAATTATAATGAATTTATTTTTCTGGGATGATTCAAATTATTCCTTTTGATTACCAAACTGCTTCGGCTTGTGTTTAAACATGTTAAATATTAAATACTTTAGTTTGCAAGTCATAAACACTAACGATAATCTATGTCAGCTTTTTAATAAAATAAACAGTTCTAATTCTGTTTCAAAAACAGCTTTATGCCTTCTCTAAACAATCAACTTCTTTCCAGATACCATATTATTTTGTTCTTGTAGCAGCATTGCATGCAGATTGAATATTTTTTCTCACTTACAGTATTGTGATGTTATTTATATTACCATTGTCTTAATATATTTAGAAGATGCTATGTGATTTTGGAAAGGTTTATTATTTATTCTCATGAATTGTGTTTGAAAGTAAGACTCATAGAAATAATTTCCATAATAAGTTTATGTAACTCCGTGTTTCCAAAATAAATTAAAATTAAGAAGTTTATTTACATCAAATTGAGTTGGACTTTATCAGTTAAGTGAGCTTTGAATTACATGAAAGGTTTTGATTAAACATTTTTAGAGAAATAAAAACTACTATATTGTATAATTCAGACAAATAACTAAAAATGTACTCTGAATTTCTAAGTACTCACTTATTATTATAAACCTTGGGAGGAAAATGAGTTCATTAACTCAAATGGAAATATGGAATTGTTTATTTGAAGTTAAAATATATAGGACATTGATATTGGTTTGTATACTATCTATTCGGTATGGTCTTTTACCTGAATTTCTTTTGAATCTATGTAGATAAGATCATTTGAAATCAGCTTCATTTTAATAATTAAAGTATATTCATATTAATCCAGTAAAGGGGCCCATTCTACCTAAAATATGAATTTACTATATTGTGTGCATCACTACAGTTTTTCTTCTTTGATGTGAGGGACTCCTTTATATTCCCTTACATGTCCCAGGAAATCTTCTGTCTCCCTAGGTACACATAAGATTTATATTCGAATAATTTTAACGGTCATTAATTTTCCTCCACAGTTAAGATGAATCTTCAGTTTATTTTAAACTTTAATATATAATAAGTAGATGAAAAATCAAATTCACTGATTTCACAAGTATTATATTTTGAGGGCTCTTTTGTACAAGGCAGTGAGTGTTAGGACAGATAATCCCTGTTCATACAGGGCATGCAGTCTGGTAGGGGAGACAGACAATAATCAAACATGTGAGCCACATATTTTAGAGTATGTTGGTAAGTGACCATTGTTCTCTGTCTCTTAATAGATAGACACATGTGTCTCTATATAGAAAGATAGATGATAGATATCTACAGACAGAAATGGAGATAGAGATAGAGATTGAGTTTAAGAAATTGGCTCAAGTGATTGTGGAGACTGGCAAGTCTGAAATTTGCAGGGCAGGCCAGCGAACTGGAGACTCAGCAAAGAGTTGATATTTCCACCCCAGTCTGAAGGAAGTCTGGAGGCAAAATCCCTTTTTGGAAAGAGCTCAATCTTTTTTTCTTAAATCCTTCAGCTGATTGAATGAGGCTGTCATGTAATGCAAGTAATCTGTTTTACTCAAGGTCTAATGATTTAAACATAAATCTTACATAAAATACCTTCACAGCAACACCCAGGCTGGTGTTTGATCAAGGATCTGGGTACCATGGGCTAATTAAAACTATAAAAGAGGTTTAGGAATGCTAGCATTTCTGTAGAAATTTATTATTTGGAAAGAGCTCTTATTTGCCTCCTTTCATTTTGCTATCTGGGAGATAAAAAGGACAGATAATATTACTGGCCATATTTTTAAGAGGAGTATTTGGGAGGAAGGAGTTAAAGTTCTCATAATTATCTGAGACAAAGCCATGGTGACTTAAACATTGCGACTTAATTATCGGTCAGACTAAGAGCCAACACTGTGACTGTTTTTAAGTTTCAATTACAGTGTTTGATGTGCAGTTCATGTTTAATGGAAACTCCCTGTCATGAAGATATTTTTTGTACTTTAAGAATATTTTAAGGAGTCTGAAAATGTATTTTAAAGCATTAATCTGGTAAACACTCACTATAGCAGTATTAATGTAATTTTAACCATTATTAATATTACTGATTATTGAATGCTTTTGATTAAGAGCTTTTTTTTAATCCCAGTGTGAAAAATTTTAAACATACTTATGAGACAATAAAACATCTCTTTTCAATTTGAGAAATAGCTAAGGAATATTTAATGAGATATTTTAAAGCATTTGTAAGGAAAATATATTATTGTTGTGTAAAAAGTTCATCTTATAAATGAATTAACCAAGTGAATTAAAATTCACAAGTATAAGTCATATAAACCAGGTTATGTATAAGTAAACATAAAGCTTGACAACGTTTTTATTTCATTGGTTTGTGGTTTTGTCATGCTATTATTATATAAGCTTTATATTCTGATTTTAAATTTACCTGTTTTTTTAGGTAGTGAAGATACATGTCCTACAACAAAAGGTGTTAGTGTTTACTTTTTGTTTCACTCCTTTACAATGTTTGGAAGAGTTTGTTACAAACTCTTGTTTCAAATCAAGTGATCTATGTTTGAAACTCTTGTTTCAAATCAAGTAATCAAGTGTTACAAACTCTTGTTTCAAATCAGTTGTTTCAAATCAAGTGATCTATGTTGTTTTCCAAAAAATGAAGTTTTATTAGTTAAAAAATTAAATATATAAGCAAAGAGTCACAGGGATTTAACAACCTGCTTTTGCTTTTAGTATTGATTACAAGTCTTTGTAAATAAATATCTAAAACATATGTATGTACTGAAGTGTGATATTGTATCAATTTTAAGGAAATCTCTCATTTTCCCAATGTTATAAACCAAAAGAAAATCTTTTGGAGGAAAACAGACTTTTAGGGATGTTCATGGGATAATAAATATATAGGTATGCTATGTAATATATCAATTTGATTATATGCACACATTTAAACTAACATAAAACCTATTAATTTAGAGATATTTGTTGTTTCTACCCTTGCATTTAATGAAATAATTTCGCTTACCAGCCGTTTTCTTGAATGTGTACATACTATCAATGGCAAATTTGTCTCAAGCAACAATTATAACTCTTTATAACATTAGAACATTTTTTGTTGTTCATTCATTCAGCAAGAGCATAATAATTATCTCCACTATGTAGAAACTCATTTTATTTTACCACTATTTTAAACAGATCTTTGAGAGTCATGTTTACAGTGACATCTATATCAGTGAGGTCAAATCCTGAAGCACAAACACAAAATCTATACAAAATGTCTTTGCCTCCTCTTGTAGTGATTCTGTATAGAATCTCTCCTCTCTGTAGAACGTCTAAAACTAGAATTAATTCAGGGTATTTCAAACTAATGTGTCCTTCCTGTAGCAAATAGAGAACAACTTGTAAAGCAAATTTGCATGACTTGGAAATAAGGCAGCTCCTCTTTTCTGAGTAATAATTATAGTGAGAAAAGCCATTATGTTGTATTTGTAATATTTAGTAATGCATTCCTGTGTCTTACTGCTATAAAATGATACATCTGATTACATGAATTATTGAAGTATGTACTTGCTTTTATTCATTTTTCTTATCATAATTGCTACACAGTTTAGACTTATTTGAAAAAAGCTAGTGTGTATATACTTGTGTATGTGTTTGTAATATAGCAGCTTCTGTTTTCAATATTAGACTTTTTCTAACTATTGTGGTTCTAACAGTATTGTGGTTCTAATTGTCAGTTGCAAAAAAAACTAGCAGAAAGTTCTGAATAAAGAACTCTTTCATGAGTGGCAATCCAACAGGTCTGTACGTTCTCACAAGTACTGGGTTCGATTCTTATGGGATGTCTTAGTGGAAGGTATTCTGGACAATGACATACATCAAATGCAAGAGTTTGATAATGAAAACATTTCTGAAGATTCCATATCAGAGTTTTCTCCACACTGTCCTTTTGTCTGCATTTACAGGCTGAGCCTCAATCCTAAGGCTTATCTTAAGACAACAAATGTGCTGCTACATTGTGCCAGAGCCAAAGTGGAAAAGCTAAGCATGGGTTAGTGTGACTAGATTGTCCCATATATGTTGTGCAAGTGACAACTGCTCAGAACAGCAGAGAAAACGGTGGGTTGTCTGTGTCACTGATTGCACCAGCTCCTACAGGTGGCTGTTACTGTTAAAGGCTTCATTTATAGCCTGTTTTTATTTCTGTCTCAGCTGATGTTGCCCTTTGTTCTCCGGAGCTTTCCAAATGAAATAGTCCATGGCATGTGGTATCACAGTGGTTTAATTGTGTCTCAAATGGTTATAAAATGCAGCTGAGGTTGAGAAGTGTTGGGTTAAGCAAATCCATTTTCCTAAGAGTCTGTATTCCTACACTTAGATTTCTGTGCTTACATAGGCTATTGAGAAAGAAGGAAAAGAGGGAGACAGGGAGGGAGGGAAGGAGGGAGGAACGGAGGACAGAAGCTGCTCAGAAGAACAGAACAAGTGCTTCTCATTATCATTGCTGGTACCAGTGTGAGCTCTAAGAGGCATTGTGAGAGCCTTTCATTGCTACTTGGAGACACAGGCCCTAAGGGTCCTAGCTGTGAAGGTTGAACAAAAAACTCAGGATGGCAGCCCATTGGTCCAATTAGAATTGGTAAAGCCTTTCTTGTTTACTTGGAAGTATTACCCAAAGAAAAGCATGCTGGGAGCATTGAGTTGATCAGGTAAAGGAAAATTACACCGAGCCCTTTCCCTAGGAGACTGTGTCATGTCAAGGAGGTAAAAATGTGACTATTCAGGAATCACTTTATAAGGGAGATTGGTGTCCAGGGGAGAGTTGGATAAGTCAAACAATATTGTAATACTGCTTATTCAGGTAAAATATGGAGGAGGGCAGAGAATTCAGGTTTTGCTACCTTTGAGCACGTTTAACATGATCAGTAGCTGTTGTCATTTACGAATGAAGATATTG